ACATCACGGTGAAGATGGATTTTAGGGACTCTCACTCAGGCTTAAAGGAATGATGCCAAAAATTGCACAATTTAGGGCCGGCCCGGTGGCGCACTGGATAGTGCGCCGCTTGGGAAGCGCGGCGGCGCTCCCGTCCGAGGGTTCGGATCCCATATGCAGACCGGTTCCCGCTCACTGGCTGAGCGAGGCGCGGGAGCAACACCGAGGCTTGCGATCCCGTTGCCGGTCCCCGGTCCGGTACGGGGGCAACACTGAGGGTTGCGATCCGTTGCCGGACATGGAAAAAAGAGAAAAGACAAAAAAAAAAAAATTGCACAATTTACTGACACCAGCGCCATGGAGGAGTATGTTCAGGAGACTTGCCCATTGTGGATGATTGCCCCTGCTGGAATTCAGAACCAGTCGAAAGGTAGTGTCAACACTGGGGGGATCCGAGCCCCCCAGATTGGAGGTATCTTCATGGTATGAGGGGGCCTGTTCTCCGCCATTGACTACAGCCTGGTGCAGCTGTGGGGCAAGGAAGATCCCTGGAACTCCGTCACCAGTGAGGCATTGACCAGGGCTTTGCTGGCTGCCCGCAGTGGCCCATTGGCCGTGGTGGGCTTGGCAATGATGGGGGGCATCCCATTGGCCCTCATAGAGGGTGTCGGCATCCTTCTGACTCGCTACACCGCCCAGCAGTTTTGCAATGCTCCCCGTTTCCTACAGGACCCCAGCCAGCTGCCCCCTAAGGAGGGTACCCTGGCCCCAGGCTATCCCAGCTATCAACAGTACCACTGAGTAAGTGACTGCCTAATACTGCCACCGTGGGAGTTTCTCCTCAGTTCCCTCCACAGTGATCTACCTCCAAGGGAGAGCTGGCGCCCAGTTAGCCCTGGGACCCTATAGAGAACCCCTCTACTCTTCTCCCTTGTCCCAGGGCGGGGGTGGAGCATCCTAGCTGCCCTGATAGATGGGTCACCTTTTCCTCAGAGCACCCCAGGCCTGTACTCACACATGACAAGCTCTCACCCCAGCTCCTTCATGTAGTAGCACTCTGATGAGTATTTAAAGCCAGTTTAAAGATGAAAAAAATTTTTTGCAGGATTTGTATCTCCATTTCAGGGCTCTCTGAGCTCCACTACCTTCTGGTCCTCTTCTCTGCTGTCTCACAGGCATCTCAGACAAAGCAAAACTCTCAGTTCCCTCCATTCAACTACCCAAACTCATTCTTCCTACAGGTTTTAATGTTATAGAACATGGCGTCACCATCTACCCATCTGAAATTTACCTGAGTCAATTTAAATTCCTCTCTCTTCCAAACCCACAATGTACAGTATTAATAATTACTGCCTCCAACATAATTCTCAAATCCTGCTTTTCTGCATGTGCTCTACCTTTGTTTGTCTTTTTTTTTTTTTTTTTTTTTTGGCAGCTGGCCAGCACGGGCATCCGAACTCCTGAGCACCACGTTCTACCGAGTGAGCTAACCAGCGAACCCTGCCACCAAGGTGGTCTCAGCCACCATATCCTTCACGTGGATCATTACAAAAATCATTCAACTGGTATCCCTGCTTCTTCTCTTGACCCACCTCCAATCCATTCTCCACACAGCAACCAGAATAGATTCAATTCACTCCCCTGCTTAAAACCTTCAAAGGCTTTGGGCCGGCCCGTGGCTCACTCAGGAGAGTGCGGTGCTGATAACACCAAGGCCCCGGGTTCGGATCCCATATAGGGATGGCCGGTTTGCTCGCTGGCTGAGCGTGGTGCTGACAACACCAAGCCAAGGGTTAAGATCCCCTTACCGATCATCTTTAAAAAAAAACCTTCAAAGGCTTCCTATTTACATTCTCCTGCTAACTGGAGCTATTTTCCACCTCACTCCCTAAATCCTGGGTCTCTGCCTGGAATGCCCTTCCCCCAACCATCCCCTTCCCTTAGATGGCTCCTTCTCTTCCTGCAAGTCAAGGTGTACATCCTGCATAGCAGGCCCTTCTTCCCTCCATATCCCATCCAGGAGCTCCCTTCCCCGTTCTCCATCACAACATCCTGCCAGATTCCTTCTGAGTTGGAACTAGATGTTTGTTGATCAAGTTTTCACTGTCTCCCTATAGGAGGCAGTAAGCTTCTCAAGGACAGAGATGTTCACCAATGTCTCCCCAGAGTCTAGCACAGTGCCTGGCACACAGTAGGCACTAAGTAAATATTGGATGAATAAGGTGATTTGTCACTAGTAGATTGTCTTTACATGAAATTCATGATTGTGCTTTTTAAATATTAATAAAAGATTGTATTAGCCTTTTTGCGTTGCTTATAACAAAATACCTGAAACTGGATGATTTATGAAGAAAACAACATTTATTGCTTACAGTTTCTGAGGCTGGGAAGTCCAAAGTCCATCTGGTGGAAGATCCCCTTACCAGTCATCTTTAAAAAAAGAAAGAAAGAAAGTAGAGAGAAAGAGAGACAGATGCTTCTCTCTTTTTTTAAAGCCCTCAGAACCATGCCCCTGACCACCATTTTTTTTTTTTCCTTTTTGTCTTTTTTCGTGACCGGTAACGGGATCGCAACCCTCGGTGTCGCACCCGCACCACGCTCAACCAGTGAGCAGACCGGTCTCTATATGGGATCCGAACCCTCGGCGGGAGCACCACCGCACTCTACAGAGTGCACCACCAGGCCGGCCCTATGACCACCATTTTTAATCATTCACTACGGCATGGTCCTACAATCTAATCACCTCTTCAAGGCTCCACCTATCAATTACCATAATAGGATTTCCCACCCTCTTAACAGTCACAGTGGGGGCTAAGTTTCTAATACAAAAAACTTGGGGAACACAGTTCAAGTTTCAGTGAGTTTGGGGGGACATAATTCAATCCACTACAAAGATTAAGCAACTCATAAAGGGTCTTCTTCTTGGCTGGTTGCTGTCATCCTAGTGTCTAATAGGATGGTGATAACTACCACCACCTGCGCCCACTACTGCACATTTATTAATTCTCATAACAATCCAATGATGTAGTCCTATTATTCCCATTCTATTGATTAAAACCTAGACTCCATCTGCTTATCATACTTGATTTTGAATCTTGAGTTGTTTATTGCATGCTGAAGCCATTTAATTTTTCAAATTGAATGAGATTAACTTAATGCAAATTGTTTGACGAGGAAGGTGATGCCCAGAGAAGGAATTTCTGAGTCTCCTTGTGGAGGAACTGTGCCTGGAACCCTATTGGTGCAGACAAAACAATAAAACAAAAACTGAAGAGTTCACAATGGTCAGAAAAGCAAGTGACCCAATCCAGTGCTCTGCCTTCAAGAAGTAGCCTGTTGTACTTCTTGAAGTCTTATTATCTAGCTATTTGGTCATTGAACACCTACTCTATGCTAGGCTCTGTTCTTGGCTCTGGAAATACAGTAGATATCAAGACAGACTAAGACCCTGCCATCATGGAACTTACATTTTAGTGGTAGGAGATAGACAATAAACAAGGAAGCAAATAAACAAGATAATTTCAAAAAGAAACAAGTGCAATGAAGGATGAAAAATGGGTGAAGGGATACAGAGTGAAAGGAGATATTTTGGATAAAAAGCCCCCTGAGGAAGTGACTTTGATCTGAAATCTGAAAAATGAAAACCCAGCCATAGGAAGAGCCATGGAAAGACTGGCTCAGGAAGTGCAAAGGCCCTGAGGCCAACTCAAGCTTGGTATTCAAGAAACAGAAAGAAAGGGAGAGTGGATGGAGAGAAAGCTGGAGTCAATTAGGGTCTTGTGGAGTGTATGGATTTTACTCTCAGTGCAAAGGGAAGCCATTAGGGGTTTAAGCAAGAGAATGACCATGATCTAGCTTATAATCTTAAAAGATCACTTGTGTGAAATTAAAGAAGGTGAAGATTCAAACAAGGAGACAAGGTGAAGGGCTGCTGCAATGGACAAGTGGCTTGTATTAGGGTGGTGGAGGGATACAGGATATATTTTGGAGGTTAAACCAACACCGACAGCATGGATATGGGGGTTTACAGTAGAAGGGATTGTAGGAAAGAAATCAAGGAAGATTTAGACATCTGTGTGGCGGACCTCAAATTTAGGAATATATTTTACATATATTCAGCCTCTACTTATTACACTTAGATTCTCAATTAATTAATTGGAACACAGCATAGCATAGGGAAGGAGTTTAGACTAAATCTTAAATTCCAATCCTGTGTGATCTTGGAAAGCGTCTAAACCTGAAAAGCCACCGTTTTCTCATCCGAACGGGAATTGAGTGTCCATGGATTTGAGAAGATATTTGTAAAGCTTCACAAAAGCGCCTAGAACACAGGGATGAGGCGGAGAGCCTCATATTCGAGGTTTTATTCACGAGATAGTGATGAAGGGGGAGTGCGCAGTAGGATCTTGAGCGTGCGGGACACTTACAGCGTTGGGCATGAGAGTATTCCAGTTTCTGCCTGAACTGGAAACGAGTCCCTCTGCTTTCAGCGCAAGGGTATCTTACATTTCTTTCTTTTCTTTTTCTTTTTTTTTTTTTTTTGGCGTCTGGCCGGTTCGGGGATCCGGTGTCACAACACCGCACTCTTAAGCAACTGAGGTAACCGGCCTGCTCTGCACCTTAAACTTCTAACCCGGGAGAGTGCGAGGTTATTCCCGGAGCCCGTAACAGTACCTGACCACCAGAGGTGTTCCATAACCGTTTAATGAAGAAGAGGTTCGCAGTGAGGGGAAAAGCTCTTAGCAATGACAATAGTCAGCGCGAGGCGCGGAAGGGTCAGCGCCCCGGGATTACCGCGTCGCTGTGGCAACGCTCTTGCCACGCGCACCCGGGGAAGAACTACAAGTCCCACAACCGCCCGCGACTTTCCCGCCCCTCAGTGGGGAGGGGAGCGCGGGCGGGCGCGGAACCGGCTTTTCCTCTTTCCCGCAAAGTGATTGGCCCGCGGCTGAGGGAGGCGGCCAATGAGTGCTCTCGGAGCGAGCGGCGAGGCCAACATGGCTTCCCGCACCTTGTGACGGTCGAAGAAACTGAGTTGGGTCTCATGGAGAAGCCTCGGGGCGTTGAGGTGAGAGGGAGAGGACTGGGACAGGGAACCCCGGGAGCCTTTTAGCGACGCCTTGAGGGTGGAGGGTAGAAAGATGGATAAACTGAGGTAGTTAAGCTGAACCAGGACCAGAGGCGATTGGCGTTACTTTTTGCTCCCATCCTGCGGGGGCCCACCTCCCACGAGTTCAGGGGACAGTGTCCCCGGCTGGGTTCAGGACCAGCGAGCTCCTGAACCTTTTTTGTCTTCCTTGTCTCGTGGTCGTGTTCTTCAGGAGTTGCGAGGCCTGTCACATCCAGGTGGGAGGTGAAGGGAGATTAAAGCTTAGTGGACGTGGTTCCGTGCCTGGAGTGTTCGCGCGCGTTGTCTTCCCGCACACTCACAGCCATTCTGTGCTGTTGTTTCCTCTGTGTGGTTAAAATAGCTGAGGTTCAGAGAGGTGGTGCGACTCCCCAGGAAGTTCACTCAGCTGGAAAACGAAGTCTGTCAGCCTCCAAAACCTCCAAAAGCAGTGGGAAAAGCACTGCTGCAACCTGTAGTCCACCCACCCGTTAATCATCTGGCTTCTGGGCACCTTATATTAGAATTTAGTTCCCTTCCTAACCTATTTGCATGTGCAGTTGCAAATATAAAGTAGAATAGCTCAAAAAATCTGCAGAGGTAAAGGAGAATTATAAAATAGGGAATCAAAATAATAGCTCGGGAGACAGATTTGGGAGTCTTGCCCCCTGTCTCCTTGCCTGTCGAACTCCTCACAATAAAGACTTTTTTTTTTTTTTTTTTTTTTTTAAGACGACCGGTAAGGTGATCTTAACCCTTGGCTTGGTGTTGTCAGCACCACGCTCACCCAGTGAGCAAACCGGCCATCCCTATATGCGATCCGAACGCGTGGCCTTGGTGTTATCAGCACCACACTCTCCTGAGTGAGCCAGGGCTGGCCCCAAGACTTTTCTTAAAAAAGAGTAATTGCTCGCACTTTTACAGCTGTTACCAACTGCTGGAAATAGAACCAGGCTTTTTACATATCTTAGTCTTCATAATAACAGCCTTCCAAAGAAGGCTTGTTATTTTCCGTTGTACTGATGAAAAAACTGAAGGCAGCGAGGTTAAATATCTTGCACAAAATCACAGTGTTAATAACTGGTAGAGCCAGGATTCAAAGCCAGGTATGTCTGATTTGAGAAGCTGGTTTTCGGGGGTTTTTTTTGTTTGTTTTTGTTTTTTGACAGCTGGCGGACACAGGGGTCTGAACTCAGGACCTTGGTGTTATCAGCCCCACACTCTAACCAAGTGAGCTAACCAGCCAGCCCTTGAGAGCCCATTTTAACCAATAATAATCGCCAACATTTATTAAGCATTTACTATGTGCAAGTCACTTTTCTCAGTGCTTTACCTGTATTATCTTTTTTTTTTTTTTAAAGATGACCGGTAAGGGGATCTCACCCCTTGGCTTGGTGTTGTCAGCACCACGCTCAGCCAGTGAGCAAACCGGCCATCCCTATATAGGATCCGAACCCGTGGCCTTGGTGTTATCAGCACCGCACTCTACCAAGTGAGCCACGGGCCGGCCTTACCTGTATTATCTTTTAAGAGTACTTCTCCCCCAAATCTTATGAAATAATTGGTATTGTCCTCACTTTATAGATGCTTGGTGTTATCAGCACCGCACTCTACCAAGTGAGCCACGGGCCGGCCTTACCTGTATTATCTTTTAAGAGTACTTCTCCCCCAAATCTTATGAAATAATTAGTATTGTCCTCACTTTATAGATGTGGAAACTGAGTCACTGAGTGATTGACTCGCTGCAGGTCCTACAGCTAGTAAGCACTAGAGATGGTATTTGAGCCCTGGCCCAGAGCCCAAACTCTTCACCTTGCTTCACACCATTTCTGCCACACGCTAGATGGATTCATGTACAAATCTCTCATTTATATTTCACATTCTGTGAGCCAAATATTTTTCTTATTTTATAGATGATAAAATTGAGGCCCACAGAGGTTAAATGACTTGCCCAAGGACCCACAGCTAATTAGGATCAGAGCTGAATCCAAAGCTGTGGATATAGCACTATGTGTGGCATAACACTATGCCACCGCTATCTGTGTCATCCGCCTCTTAAATCCTTGGGGCAGTCTGGGTCATAAATTAACTTTTCTTTGACCTAAATTGTTTTTGTTTTAGCAGCTGGCCGGTATGGAGATTCCAACCTGTGACCTTCATGTTATAAGGCTGTGCTTTAACCAGTTGAGTAACTGGCCAGCCCCTTTTTACATTTTTGTTTGTTTGTTTTTTGGTGGTTGGTGGATACAGTAAATTGTTTTCGAGTTGAGATTATTTTGGTGTACATATGCTGAGTGGGGAAGAATGAGGTTAGAAAGTTTTTGTGAGGATGTTTTCACATTGTTGTATTCTATTTGAACCATGTTAAAATATTATCATTTATAAATCCACAGAGGAGCCGGGTGAATTCCTAACACATATTTTCTGTCTTGTTGTCTATTGGGTTGTGGTGGAGAAATGTGTATATAGGAATAATGATTCTGGTGCTTACAAAAAGCATATTTAGAAGGTTTCCAAAAGTGTTGACAAAGAACTGGAAAGGGGGCTGGTCTGCAGCTTCTCTCACCATACACTAAAGCCAGTCACGATTCCTTCTGCCTGGTTTGTGTCATCCTTCCACTAGGAGACTCCATCTTCAGAACCAATGGAGGAAGAAGAGGAAGATGACGACTTGGAGCTGTTTGGTGGCTATGATAGTTTCCGAAGTTATAACAGCAGCGTGGGCAGTGAGAGCAGCTCCTATTTGGAGGAGTCAAGTGAAGCAGAAAATGAGGATCGGGAAGCAGGGGAGCTGCCCACCTCCCCCCTGCATTTGCTCAGCCCTGGGACTCCCCGCTCCTTGGATGGCAGTGGTTCTGAGCCAGGTGCCTTCACAGTGGCCCCTGAAGATGGAGAGGAGAGTCAGCGGGTTATGGAGGAAGAGGGTCACGGATATAGGCCATGTGGGCAGAGCCATCTAGATGTAAAAGGCTGTTTGTATGATGTCTGAGGACCTGTAAAAGAGACAGAAGTACCCACAGGGTCACTTCCAAGACTGCCCAGAAGTAGCTACAAGAGTCATTTACTCTTCTGCAGTCTGACTTCAAATTGTGATTTCATTCATTATCTTACACAACTAATGTTTATTCAGCACATATTAGGTACCAGTCAGTAACATGATGCTGCTTTTACCTTTGTATGAGTAGGCTATAGATTTCTAAGCCTGGTTGTTGAGAAAATAGGAAACCTAAAGAGCTGTAGTTACTGTCCCAGATGGGACAAAAAATAGCTTGTGGGTTGGAAGTTGGGGGTGATGGGAGAATACAGGAGTAACCTTGGATGAGAGGATTGGGGTGGGGTGGGCAGATAAGAACTCCCAAGGTTCATCTGAAAGCCAGTTAGCGTCAGAGATGTGAGGGTTGGACAGCTGCTGGACCCCTGTGTCAGGGCGTCCAGTGGGTGGGCTGCCTTGAAAAGAGGCAGGCTAGATGGTCTGTGATGACACTCCTGTTCCTTGGTACCTAAGCTCTTTAGAAGAGTAATCTAATGTTCTCTGCCAGTTGAATCTTACTTCCTTTCCCATAGTCTTGTCTTCTCTTCCTCTCTCCCTGTCTTTTATCCTTCTGCCTTCTATCTTTTTCCAGCCCTTCTCTTAGAATCTTAGAACTAGAAGGAACCATTAGAGAACATCTAGTCCAGGGGTTCTCTACTCTAGCTGCACATTAGAGTCACCTAGGGAGCTTTTAGCAAACTACAGATGCCAGTGTCCCACCACAGACCAATCCATTAGAATCTCAGTCTGGGGCATTTTTAAAAGCTCCCCAGGTGTTTCTGATGTGAAGCCAGGGTTGAAACACTCATCTAGTTCAGTCTAATAGAGCACAGAGGTTAAGTGACTTTGGCACTTTTCTCCCTATAAATTATCTCATTTTCCTCTCTCCTAAACTTTCTAACACTCATCTGTTCACCCAGCTGTCCTTATGAATTTTCTTTATTTGGCTGTTGACACATATAGCCAAGGGAGGCCAAGCAGCAGAGCTTAGGTGAGGTATATTCACATGTACACACCAGTACCTCCTCCTCCTCCTCTTATTCCATCAGCCCTAGTGGGGGTTGAGGCTCACTTGGTTAATGCAGTGCCCCAGGTTTTGAAGGGCCCAAATCATTATATGCTTTGAGTTGACCATATTGGGTGAGTCATGTACTCAGTTTTCTTTCCAGCTGTTTGTGAGATGTGTGGTATCGTGGGCACAAGGGAAGCCTTCTTCTCCAAGACCAAGAGGTTCTGCAGCGTCTCCTGTTCCAGGAGCTACTCCTCCAACTCCAAGAAAGCCAGTATCTTGGCTAGATTACAGGTGAGAGGCAGCCACCACGTGGGTGCTTAGACAGAAGTCACTAGCTGACTGAAGGCATGGGCCAAGAGGGCTTGGTAAGCTCCTTGTGGTGGCCATCTGAGGTTGTAAATTTCCTGGTATTTAACGTGCTCTCAAACTAAGGAGCTGCAGAGGAATCTATTTATGAAGCTTGTTAAATTACAAATTCTTGAAGGTACCCTCCATTCCCCACCCTCCTCCCCCAGAATCTGATGCATTCAGTAAGTTTTAAATAAGAATCTTGAGGAGTCTGACACCCTTGATCTTTACACCACACTTTGATAAATGCTTTGAAAGAAAGCTGGGAAATAGGCAGGAGGTTCATGGGTCATGGTAGCTTTAGGAAGTCAGTGTCTTGTCTCTGACTCCATGTCATAAGCAGCCCCTAGAAAGTCCTGCCAATCTCTAATTATTGACATTTATAGAATTTTTAGAGATAGGATTCTTAGATATGTGTTAATGAACCCACATATTTATTAATAAATGTGCTGAGGGAGGTACAGTGACTTACCTAGTGTGGCTCTGTAGGAAGAGAGCAGCAGAACTGAGGAAGCTGGAACCAAATCTCAGGTGCCTGGCCTTGTGTTGTTTCCTAGTAACTATAGACAACATCCCCAACACTGGTTCTCAAACTTGACTTAGCACATTGGGATCACCTGGAAAGTTATACTGATGCTTGGGTCCTGTTCCCAAAGATTCTTTTTTTGTTTTGTTTTATTTAAAGATGACCGGTAAGGGGATCTTAACCCTTGACTTGGTGTTGTCAGCACCACGCTCACCCAGTGAGCTAAGCGGCCATCCCTGTATGGGATCCAAACCTTTGGCCTTGGTGTTATCAGCACCACACTCTCCCGAGTGAGCCATGGGCTGGTCCCTACATCTCTCTTTTAAAAATACAAGGGATCCGAACCCATGGCCTTGGTGTTATCAGCACCACATTCTTCCAAGTGAGCCATGGGCTGGCCCTCCAAAGATTCTGATTTAACTGAGATGGAGTGTGGCTTGGATGTAGGGAGTTTAAAGAGCTCTCCAAGTGACTCAAATGTGCAGCTGAGCTTGAGAACCATTGCTGTAAAGTTTATTAAAAGTTGCTGGGTGCCTGATCTTTTTGCTTAGGGTTTCACATACCTTATCGCCTTTGTGAGGCAGTTACCATTGTTTCTCTCATTGTGGATTTTAGTCAAGGCATAGAAAGATCCTTCTCCTTAAGGAGCTAATAATAACAATACTGATAACAGCTAAATCTTGAGGGTACTCGCTAAGTGCTTGGCTGCTTAGACCAACCAATGACCCTAAAAAAATGGATTTTTTAAAAATTCCTATTTTATTTTTTATTTTATTTCATGTTTTGTCCTTTTTGAGATCGGCCGCACCGCGCTCAGCCAGTGAGTGCTGTGAGCGCACCGGCCATCCCTATATAGGATCCGAACCCGCGGCAGGAGCGCTGCTGCGTTCCCAGCGCCGCACCCTCCCGAGTGCGCCACAGGCTCGGCCCTAAAAATTCCTGTTTTATCTATTTTTTTTTTTTTAAATGACCGGTAAGGGGATCTTAACCCTTGACTTGGTGTTGTCAGC